TCTTAAGTGTAGACTGTAAAGCCTTATTAATTATTTGTTTCTTCCTATTAACTTTAGGAGATCTAGCAGGTTTATCTTTCTTTAATTTTGGGTGAGATGTAATAAGTAGCCTGTAAATGTCCAAGCATTTTGCATTTAGTATAGTAGTGTTGAACAAATCCCTTCTCTACATTCTGCCAGTAGCCATTATTAGCATTCACTATCCACATTGTATAATGAGAAGTAAAAGCAACTTCATGTTCAACCAAAACTCTAGCCGCCGAAGGCCTCAAGCAATTCAAATTAGCAATATCAACTTTCAAAGAATTCCCAAAAATAGAACTCAATGAGTATAAGACTTTCGATTTGAAGAGTTGTAATTTAACCTAGGAAACCTTACCCAAACCGACACGATATGAGGTTCTTCTTTAGGATTAAAAGTTGGAGTCCATTTCAAAATCTTCATATAAGATTTTTCAATTAATAGGATCTTTTTAAAGAAGATAGCAGTATAGTCCTCTTCCTTCTCTAGTTTGATTATTAAATTCTACTTACGAACCAATCTCATATCCGCAAAGAACTTTTTAATAACTTCCAATTTTGGATGAGTAAATGCAAATTTACCCACCAAAGTAAACCTAAGAGGTTCCACAAGCATAATAGTTGTATCTTCCTCAAGAAAGAATAAAGCAAGTTTACCGTTTTTTATAGAAGCCTTCTGGAGCAAACCAGTCGAAGAGGAATCAACAAGTTGCTCCTTAAAGCTAGATGGAAAGAGACCAAAAAATGACTCCTTAAAACTTCTTCCAACCACATCACGAAAAGAGAGACCAACCTCCCGAGAGGGAGACGCCATCAGAAACGAAGACGAATCAAAACCCCTACGAAATCACCAGGAGATCAAGAGATCTCTGTAGGACAGAACTAGAAACCCTTCAGCTCCAGGAAACCAATGGGAATGCTTTGTTGCCCATAAACTAGCTTCCTTCTCAAATGCCCTATGGTTATTTTAAAAAAATGAATTTATTATTTTCTTATAACAATAATTTCTGATGTTTCGATCATGACTATGTGTTTGTAAGATATTGAGTTTTGGCATGTCCTTTTTATTTTTATCTCAAGGGATAAAGTTACTTCCTGTTATTAGTTGTTTTGATAACTATTTTCAATGGAGGGAAGAAATTCCTAGTTTTAGTTTATTTTTAAAAGAATTAAGATAAAAAAATGATGTATATGGAGTTTTATTCAATAAGGAATTGGTGAAGACCTAAAGTCACTAACCATTTTGGAATGTTGTTCTAATGCTTGTAAGGTGCAATTATCAAGTGAGGAATTGTAGTTGTCCTTCTCATTTTTTGTTTTGAAATCTGTTTTCCATGCGTGTTTTCATCTTGTCATTTAGCACCTCAGTAAGCTTTATGGAATTAACAAATTTTGTGCCACTTAAAGTCAAGATTACTAAAATATCTAGTGTATCAGATCAGACAATGGGGGTCAATATACCTCAAATGTGTTCTTGCAAGAGTGATATAAAGCGAGGATAGAACACCAGTTTATTGTTCGAGAGATACCACATAGATGATAAATTCAGATAGGTAATAATATGCAATGTAAGATTTGTCAATGTTTTGAGCAAATAGACTGAATGCCTTTTTCCTTTGCTTTCATTCCAATAAATAATAGTCTGTACAATCTCTTTTAGGTGACCTAATAAATATTTTTAATCTAAATAAGAAGAGAATATGCACAATTAAAAGAAACAAATTAGAAGAGAGAAATTTAGAAATAATTTAAACAAGGAAGCTCCTAATTGTAGGAAACTCCTAATTTGGCTTCCTAATTCTGTGATCCTTGATTGATATCCCCCTTCAAATTGATGCTCATTGATCAAGAAACATAATCAAGAAACATAAATTTGCGAACAAGAAACTGATGACGCTGTCGAGAAAGAGTCTTAGTAAATATCAGTCGTTTGAAGATCTGCTCACTTTAGGCCCCTTTGCTATCATCTTCCTTGACACTTGATTCTTTCCCTTGCAGACAAAGAGCAGAAAAGGCAAAGAGAATCATTTGTTGAACCATATTTGGTGTGAGAACAGATTGATTATTGCCGGCAACTATGGATGTTGAACCAGGATTATGAGAGTCGGATACCTTAGCATAAATGACTTGTGGTTTGCGGTTTTGAGGCCGTGTAGGACACTCGTTAATAATATGTCTGTTTTTCTTGCAATAATTACAGAACTTCTTACTACATTGGCAGACAATATGACCAAATTCCTTGCAGTTGTAACATTGTTCTGTTTCTTTCCCTCTGGTCTGAACAGTATATGCAACGTTAACTATTTCTAATGATCCACCAGCTGTACCGATAGCAGCTTGGGTCGCCAATCTTTATTCTTCGTGCAATAATTCACCGAAACATACATTGAAACGAGAAACCAGATCTCTATTTTGCAACCCAGCATAAGCAGTTTCAAATTTAGGCTTGAGTTTCATAAGGAACTGATCGTGGTGACGCACTTCATGAATAGCTTGAAGACAGACTGAGCTCTCCTTCGACACCATAGTATAGATAATGCCAGAATATTCTCTCCATAAATTTAGAAAGTCAGAATAATATTGTTCAATTGAGAGATTACCTTGACTATAATTGCTCATATCAAGTTTTAATTCAAAGCGTCTTGCAGTATTATCTTGATAGTAGACGCTCCTCAAGTATTCCCACATTTCTTTAGCCGTCCCAAATGATCGTAAATTGTTCACCATATGAGCCTCAATAGATCCCAATATCCAAGAAACAATCAGAGCATCATTTGCCTCCCATTGAATAAGTTCTTTCGGCTCTGTATGTGCTGGAGAAGACCCATCAATATGCCCCCAAAGCTCATTTTCTTTCGAAAACATCTTTAGCATTTTGAAGACTTGCAAGAAGTAGTCGGAGGAAAACTCGCTGGAAGCAGTTGAAGGCGGAAGAAGCTATCTAAGATGTCGCAGAACGCAGTCGACGAAGCAGGCAATGAAGTAGCGAAGGAGCAGTCGAAGATGTCGCAGAAGCAGCGAAGGCTAGCGAAGACGACGATGGCGTTTGGATGAAATCGAAGTGGTCGAAGCGGACTAAGTGGATGAAGACGAAGCTAAAGAAGCAATCGAAGACGTCGAAGACGTAGGAAGCAGCCGGCGAAGATGGAATGAGCTCGAAGATGAAGACGAACGATTCCCAAATGCTAGGGAAGACGACAAAAGATTCATACATTGTCAATGTTTTGAGCAAATAGGCTGAATGCCTTTTTTCCTTTGCTTTCATTCCAATAAATAATGGTCTGTACAATCTCTTTTAGGTAACCTAATAAATATTCCTAGTCTAAATAAGGAGAAAATATTACAATTAAAAGAAATAAATAGAAAGAGAGAAATTTGGAAATAATTTAAACAAGGAAGTTTCTAATTATAGAACTCCTAATTCAGCTGTCTGATTTCTGTCATTCTTTATTGATAAGATTAACTCATTTCGATATTATTTACATTTAAAAAATCATTCTCTCAAATATTTTGGACATGATTCCCAATGATAGACCCTCATGCTAGTACTACTGCTGCTATTATGACACATGACATTATAGTAGTCCCTAGTCTAGGGATGAGAATAAGGTTTGATTTCCTCATATGTTTGCCCTTATCATTAAAGCTCGTGTTATTGTTGTGTTTAACCTTATATCAGTAAATAAAAATATATTAATATAGAAATATCTGGGATTCTTGTTCACACCCTTAAATTTGTGTTGAAAGCAAAGCTAACTTTGGTGGTAGAGATTCAGTTGAGATTTGGTTTTATGTAGTTCTTGGCACCATTGTTCTTGGTCTTCTTCTATCTTGTTGATGAAATGTTCAAGGGTGGTCGACTCTCACGAAGAGCGAAAATGGTTGACGGAACTCTTGGTGCACAATATTTGATAATGCTAAAAAAGCTTTCGTTTGAAGGAGAGTCTTGATTGATCTAGTGAACTCTCATTTGATGTAGAGATTATTAAGAAAAAAATTAATATTGAGCTTAGCTAGATATCAAATAGGGCTTAATTTGTTTTTAAAAATATGTTTGTTTAGTGTGTTTTTTATTTATTTTCATTTTTTGTTTCTAAAAATAAATATTATTTTTTTAAAAATACTCGAAACAAATTTTAGGTGTTTTGAGTATTTTTAAAAACAAACATATCATAATCAAATATGTCAAATATGTTTTATTTCAAATTAAAATATTAAAAAAAAAAGGAAGAAAAAATTGAAAATAAAAAATTAAAGTGATCCCAAACAACCTCTAAGCTTATGAGTTAAGAATTTATTTGATTTTTGTCGTATTGTATTAAAAATTGGTTATTCTTTGGGTTGTACTCCTTAACAACCCCTACCTATTAGATTAAACTATTAAGTTAATAGACATCCTTCCATTGATATTGAGCTCAACACTGGCATCTGGCATTTTACCTGCTTACCAAGTGATATCAGAGCCAAATCGTTGTAGGGCGTTTAATCCCAGTTAAGTTGCTAATTTAAAAGTAATCACACCGAATCGTTTGCTTAAGCTTTAGGTTAATAGTTGTCCATTTTTTCTGAAATATTTATGTATGTACCTATGTATGTTTATATATATATATATGAAGATTTAAATACATACCACTCAATTCCTTTGTATTTACATATCTAACACCTAAACTGAAATTTTCTCATATATGCAATCTTACCTATGCATGAAAAGGTGTGTTTCACGCTTAAAAGTCAAAATAATGGTATTTTTGATGTGTTATGAAATATTTGGGTGTTATAAATGTTAAAAATAAAATTTAGGTGTTAGATATGTAAATAGATAGAAATTGGGTGTATGTATGTAAATGCCCCATATATTTATAAACTTTTGCCACTGGTCCTTCACATAGCTTCACTTGTACTGCTTTCATTTCAGAAAACCTTTCTCTTTTCTTTATTTTTTCATAAAAACCTCCTTATAGCTGGAAACTTTTCTGCAGGTTGACAATTATGGGACTGTGAACCTTGTGGAAGCATGCCGGAAGATTGGGGTGAAGAGATTTGTTCTTGTGAGTTCCATTCTAGTCAACGGAGCAGCGATGGGTCAACTGTTCAACCCAGCTTACATCGTATTAAATTTGTTTGGCCTCACCCTGATAGCTAAGCTACAGGCAGAGAAGTACATTAAGAGCTCTGGTATCAATTACACCATTATTAGACCTGGTGGATTAAGAAATGACCCCCCATCTGGAAACATAATTATGGAGCCTGAGGTATTCTGTATCACTCTTTCCTTCGTTTCTTCTGCTTCTTTTTGGGTTGTATAGTTCTGATGTTCATGTTGATGTTCTTCTCAGGATACTCTTTATGAAGGTTCTATATCTAGAGATCAAGTTGCAGAGGTTGCTGTTGAAGCCCTGCAGTGTCCGGAGTCATTCTTCAAAGTTGCCGAAATTGTTTCACGAGTCGAAGCTCCTAAACGGCCATTAAAGGATCTTTTCAGTGGTATCAAGCAAAAATAATTTTTGCTTTCCAATAAAAGCAAAGCAATTGTGGAATTGGGATTCTCTTCTTATTTCTATCATTTATTTCTACTTTCAGATTGTCTTTCTATTATTTATTTATTTAATTTTTTTCTTTTGTACGTGTGAAATGAAGAGGACCCTTGGAGTTATTTCTTGAGCTTAATGAAGATGTAATGTTACAGAATATTGTATTACCTAGCTAGAAGTTCTACTTATATCAATATATAACCTGTTCAACAAATAATTTTTGGTTGGGGCAAGTCAATTTATTTAATCATTTTCTGGGATAATTATAAATTGCATAATTGATTTTTAATTTTTAAGAATGTGTCATAATTAGCATCAAACACCATCATGTTGTTGCCATTACTATCAGAGCTTGAATTCTACATTTCAGATAGTTTACTATTATTTCAAATCTCTACAGCTATTAAAGGTATAACATTTCGTTGCCATATTGTTTATAATCACTACCTTAGTTCTACTCCATTGAAACGTTTGATCATTTAACATCAACATCACTTGTGATAGACTAGGGGAATTCAATCAAATTTTTGCATACATAGTAGTGCATTTAAAAATCATAGCCTCTTAGCCTTTGACAAACTATTTTAGGCTCCTCCAAACACAAAAAAGTTAATTTTGTCTATATCTAGTTCATATTTTCTTCTTCATTGGCTCTTAATTTTGTCTAATATCCACCAAATGTAAATGTAACTGAGTTAGTCTCATTCACATTCAACGTTAAATCTCTACTTAATAGAAATTGCATTAGCAAAAAGTAAATCATGTCAGGATAGATACATAAGTTAATTATAAACAAAAAATAATTGCTAGAACAACTTAACAAGCCTAAGTTAATTTTTCCAAAAATTTTGTAAAAGAAGCTATTATTCTTCGATGCATAATTATCTCGTTAAACCTCTTCTGCTTTTATATGGTATTGGGATTAAGAAATCAAACCAAATAGTAAACAATGGAAGTGTTTGACTATTTTCATTCTTAATTAAACGAAAAGGGACATTAATAAGAAACATTCATTTGTCTGCAAGTGAATGAGAAAAATAAATGATTTTAGCGTGAGTAATAGTCGAGTAATTGTAACGTTCAAGAGTATTATATGTATAATAATGAAATATGATTTATAGGGGATTAGGACAGCAAAATCAAGGCATTATGATCATTTATGTTCATATACAATCGTCTTATGTAGCTTGAAATTCTAGAGCATACTTTTTCATTATTAATGAAGATCTAAGATGCTAGGTGAAAGATTTTCCAAGCAACTATTTAAGTGAACTATTTTTCTGATCTTCTACATCTTGTTCCTTTTCATTGGTAATGGAGATCTAAGATGCTACGT